ATGAATTGATTGATACGAATTAAGTTAAATAAATGTCTCGTTAGTTTGAAAGTCAAGAGTACAACTTTTCATATAATCTTCATAAACATCACCGATCGTAACAAGAAAATTGTAAAAAAATTATAAAATCAAAATAGTGTGTTACAAATATTTATATAGCAATTGTTCTATGGTAGTTAGAATTCGTAATCCTGATTATAATAGGATTTCAAGTATATTTTAAACATAATAATTTTTTAAAAATAAAGTTAAAAAGAAAATTTAAGGAAATATTAAAACACATTTTTTTTAATTTAAAAGAAATACAAGAAGTTTGGTACTTTGGTGCGCAACGTACTAGGAGTTAAGCTTGGTGAGCTACCTTCTATGGCTGAGTTCAAATTTTAAAGAGGACAAATTTGTCCAACAAAGGGGAAAATGGGGTGCCTAGTAACTACTAAGTTTTGTGGTGTGCGGATAGGGATGGACCGGGCCCGGTTCAACCGGCCTGTGAACTGACCGGCCCAGTACTGTTTAGTACCGAACCAGACCGTCGATCAGGATCGGTATCAGTCCATGAGGCCCAAGCCGGAGGTTGGGGGTGGGCTACGGGTAGGGTTGGATTCGGTTCGGGCCACCCGGCCCGTGACCCGGCCCGGCTCGGTACTGTGCGGGCCCGGGACCGGCCCGGTCAGGCGGTCCGGGACCGGGTATGGGCCTGAACCGGGGGGAAGGGGCGGGGCGGGCTCGGTTCAGCATTTTTGTGACCCGGCCCGGCCGGGTCGGGCCCGGGTCCGGGTCTATTTTTTAAAACAAAACTTTTTTTTTGTTTTTTGGCTACTAGCCGTTGAGGCCTTGGGGTGGGGCTGGGGACAACCCAAACGGCTATATAGCCGTTGGGTGGGGTAAAGGGGGGGTCCGGGGGGGTTGGCTGGTAGGGGGGGGGGGTGGGGGGGGTGGGGGGTAAAAAAACCTATAAATACTCCTACTCTTAAACATTTTTTCATATCTCTTCTCCAATTCTTCCTAAATCCTATTCTTAACTCTCTACTCTCTAATTCTCTTATTCTCCAATATATTATATATCTACTCTCTAATTCTCTTCTCCAAGAAGTTAAGATGGAAAATCAAGATGCCATTATACGGTATAATTTTGATAAGCAGAAGGACCCGAAGACCGGGATGTGGTACGCAATTTGCAAATGGTGCGAAAAAAAATGTATCATGGGGGCTTCAGGCGGATTCGGGATGGCAATCAAGCATATGAAGTCATGTGACAAAGCCAAAGGATCGGGAGGTGCGGGAAGTTCCGATTGATTACAATTTTCAAAATGTTTATCTCTTAAAGTTTGTTTTAATTTTCAAATGTAGTTCCTATTTCATTTCAAATAAATGCAATTGAAGTTTGTTTTTAATACTCGTATAAAACTATAAACTATAAAATATAAATTATAAAAAAAAAATTAACCGACCCGGCCCGAACCGGACCCGACCCGTGACCCGGGCGGGTGGCCCGGCCCGAACCGGACCCGTCCAACCCTCGGGCCGGTCCCCGGCCCACTATTCTAGAACCGGCGGCCCGACCCGGCCCGAATCCATCCCTAGCTACGGGTTGGGGAATTGGTGGACCGGCCCGGCCGGTAACGGCTATTTATTTTTTAAAAAGAATCTTTTAAATACCAAACGGCTCAATAGCCGTTGGAGGGTGGGGATGGGGGTACAAAAAAATTTATATATACTTGATGAGCACTTTATCGTAGTGCGTCAAAATAAATTCAATACTAACACTTATACGTAGTATATAGTGAAGTAGAGTTCGTATCCACAGGGAAAGGAATAAATCTCTTTTTATATGAAATTAGTAATTAAAGGGGGGTTTGGGGGTTGAATGATTTAATTTAATTAGAAACTAAGGTGAACAACTTATATGTGATTTAATTCAAAGATAAAAAGAACTTGGTTTTGCTACTTTACACTTGTTGATATATTTAGTCGATCCTTGTTATATCTATAACTTATCCCCTCTCGAATACTCAATCGAGGAGTATATCCAATTCATCGAGGGTAGTTATTAACAATGACCGTTCATTAATAACACTTACTATTAATCAAATATAGAACAACGCCTTATACCGATTTAATAGTAGCATTTAATCTTTCTAACTCCTTGATGAAATCAATTGAGATTGATAATCTCAACACAACGGTTTCGGTTTAACCAACAAAATTAATCCCTCTTAAGTTTATTAACCACGACCGTGCATTAATAAACCGAAGTTACTTACTTGTGAAACCATCAACGATTAACCATCGGTTCGTTGATCGTTCTAGTAATAATTAATATTGAGATGTTAAGGGAAGAATTAATATTCAAGGAGAGAAGTTAAGAAAATAACTCACAACTTTAAAAAGAAAATTGAAGTTTAGCTCCTCATTTGGAGACTAAACATGCTAGAAAAATATAAAGAAAATACTATTCTAAGTTGAGCTTAAATATATGGAAGAAGGGATGATTAAAAGTGAAGGAAAATGAGATTATTTATCGGTGTTTTCAAGACCTATAGCCGGATACCCGGTCGAGTATTTGTCATACCCGACCGGGTATTTGTCAAATCACATCCTTTTCCCATGTTCTTGTGTTCTTCTGCACGTTCGTTTGCTCGAAATCACTTCATATATACCCGACCGGGTTTTGCCTAAAACTCAGGTTTCTTCATCCTTCTTGCTTCCAAACCTATCCTAAACTTATAGCCCAACTAACTACAACTTACAACAAACGATAAAATGCTAAAATACGATTACAATCAAATGCAAAGTAGCAACTACAAACTTGCATAATACTAGTAAATAAACATTACAAACAATAATAAAAATGTATACTTAGGCACTAACAACTAGTGCCTATCAATACTTCTATTTTCTAAACATTTTTCTACACATATTCTTCAATTCTTCATACTCATACCCTCTAATCATCTTCATCTTCTCCAATTCTCTCTACACCTAATTAATATATGTCATATCTATTTAAATTAGTTATACAATTATTATATCTACTTATATATTTATTATCTACATATAAATACATACTTCCTCCGTTTCATAAAAGTTGCAACATTGGAATTTCTGCACTATTCACACACCTTACTTTGACTACAATTTTCTAATAATATATATAATAAAAATATTATGTGTAAAATATTAATAAATTTGTATTAGTGTAAATTTCCAATATATTAACTTTTTTTATGTTTACTGATACGTAAATAAATATAATTACAGTCAAAGTTGCGCGTTGACAAACGTGAAAGTCAAACTGTTGCAACTTTTATGGAACGGAGGGTAGTATATTACTCCCTCCGGTCCCAAATGAAATTCACACTTTCCTTTTTGGGTAGGTCCAAAATAAACTTCATACTTTTTCTCCTTTCCTTATTTGACAGATTATCTATATCAAAACAGTGAAAAACAGTGCAAAGCAGTGTCAAACAGTGTCACAACAGTGTACTCTACAGTAAAGTCAAATTTATTTCCTTAATTTGTGTGAAGTCAAAGTGTGAATTTCATTTGGGACCGGAGGGAGTATATTACTTATATTTATTATCTACTTAATATCTACTTATTATATGCTTGTTATTTACTTATATTTACATATTACATCTAATTAATATATTAAGTATAATATATATATATATATATATATATATATTAGAGTATTAAATATTTAGGATTGTTTAATATTTGTTATATTTTAAGATGGAATGTGGTAGACATTCTGTAGATATGGGTAACCTCCAACGCAATCGAAAGAAGGAGATTGGGAGGAATCATCCTACTTCATGCAAAGGTAATGGACATATCGGATCTTCTTCTCAAAGCTGAGATGATTTTGACACAAATTATGACTGAAGAGATGTGAAACACTGAAAGAGGTACAAGGCCGTCAGCAAACCACCGACGAGGAAACACCCGACGATGATAGAAACGATAAGAAAGGTCAATCTCTCCTTATGAAAAACAATTACACAGAATGGAAGGAAACGACAAGCAGAATGTGTTGGGATACTTGCTAGCATTGTAACGAAAAAATTTGCTTGGGAATTTCGCATGGATACGGAAATTTCGCATGGATACGGAGGCGTTGATAGGCATTTGAAGGCAGACCACCGTGAGGAATATGCGAAATTAAGAGTCAAAGGGACACGAAATATTTTTTCCCGCTTTTTTAAAATAGGCTATTAACTATATTATCAATTGTACTTCATTTATCAATATATATGCATTGAATTTTTAAATTTTTCTCAATTCTCATTTGTAGTTCATATTTCAAATAAATATACTTTAACTTTTTATTGTCTAGCACTTCTTGAATTAGTTTTAAACAAACAAAAAAACTTAACCCAGCTCGACCTGACCCGAGACCCGAGCGGTTAGACCAGACCAGACCAGTCCCGATGGAATCCCAGGCTGGTACCATGCCTTAGGTCCAAAAACTTAGTACCAGTCAGGCCCGGTCCATCCCTATGCACGGAGGAGGTCCGCTTTAAAATGGTATAGAGGGGGTAGCTTTTCTCTATCTCACAAAAAATGTAGACTTTTATATTTTTTAATTTTGGAATTCTCTTCAAATAATCATAGCTAGGGATGGACCCGGACCGGTTCCGGGTCGGGCCCGGGCGGGCTTTTTTTCATTTACTTGGGTCCGGAACCGGCCCGGGTTGATACCAGGTCTGGGCCTAACCGAGCCAGACTAGGGTCAATGTTTAAATTTTTTTTTGGCTTTCTTGTCATCCCCCTCACCCCCCCCCCCCCCCCCCCCCCCAAACCTCCCCAAAACACCCAACCCTACCCTAAAAAGAAAAAAAAAAATTGAAAAAACAAAAATAAAAAATAAGGCCCGAAACCTACCTACCCTATAAAAAATAGAAGGTCTACATCTGGATATTGTACTTATGTATGGGGGAATCTGGTGACTTGGAGGAGTAAGAAGCAGAATGTAGTTGCCAGAAGTAGTGCAGAGTCTGAATTTAGATCTATGGCTAATGGAATCTGTGAGCTACTTTGGATCAAGAGAATGATGACAGAGTTGAATATGGAAATGAACCTACCTATGAAATTATATTGTGACAATAAAGCAGCCATTAATATTGCTCACAATCCTGTGCTACATGATCGTACTAAACACATTGAGGTGGACAGGCATTTTATCAAAGAGAAGATTGAAGCTGGAATTGTATGCACACCATTCATATCTACTAAAGAGCAGACAGCTGATATCTTTACAAAGGGGCTGTTTAAACCAGTGTTTGAGTTTCTTATAAGCAAGTTGGGAATGTATGATATATACTTACCAACTTGAGGGGGAGTGTAGAAAAATGTAGCATATTCATGTTATTTTATTATGTATACATCCGGATTAACACGCAGTGTAGATAAGAATAGATAGATCCTAAATATTAGGATCTGTAACAAACCTTAGCTTATCTGTAATTTTGTATTTATATCATTGCCGGATGACTCAATAATAAATGGAAGATTAATTCTTCAAACCTACATGCTCAAAGGAAGCAGACAACATGAGTTCTTCTGAAGCTTTTTTTCTTCTTGTCCGATAGAAACACATCTTTTCCCTGGAAACACTGTATCCATGACGCCCTCCCAAGAGGAATTTATACCTATATCTATAGCAGTAATGTAGAGAGGACACACAAAATTGGGAGTGTTAGTGTTAAGGCGCACTAGAAAACCAGGATTTCCTATCGCTTGGAGAGCTTCAGCGATGAGTGCTAGATTTGCATATATTTGCCTCCCTCTCCTGAAAACTTGAGTGAATTCTCTCGGAAGCTCAGACCAAATAAAATTAGTTGTCAGTACAGTATGTAGATGACTCCATGGTTCCCTAGAGTCACAGTTCATGCAGAGCGTGCACAGAATGAGCACCAACCTCAAAACCAGACACCTGTGATACTCACTGGATCTAATGCCGAACTTCATAACCCACAGATCTCTGTTGGGTTTCTGGAGGAGGAGCTCAAGCACCATGGAAAGGATTGATTCATAGAACATACAAGATTCTTGATTTAGAAGACTGTGAGTGGAAATGGCATCTGGTTGAGTACGCATCCACCACTCCAGAAAAGAGGACCTTGTTGTGTAAAAGGAGGCATTAGAACAGGAAACCAAGATCAAGAAGCGCTCAACGAGAAATAAGAAGCAGTGAGGTGAAATGTAGTCATGCATGTTATGCCAATAGACTTGATATGTTTCTCCCAAAGCTTGATGGAACCCATGAAGCAACTTCCTTGGCTCTTTAACACTCTTCAGAATCTCTATGAAAGCTATCCAGGCTGAGTCCTCTCTGATTCTTGACAAAAGCTCATTGCACAGTTCATCTGAAGGTTTGGCAGACCCTAACCATATCGTCATGAACCGTCCAATTTGACCAAAGGTAGCCAGATCACCTTTTCTACAAAGACTGTGGCTGATAAATTCCTCTTCAAGTAAGCTTTGGGAAACATCAGTTCCTCTTAGAGAAATCATGTTTTCCTCCAGAGACCTCTGGGCATGAATAGAAAAAACATTATCAAAATAATTCTTCGAGAGCTGGAAGAACTTTATTAGTTTCCCGTCACAATTCCTGTAGTTGAAATCCTTGGACTCAAGAAGAAACTTTGATATCTGATGTATACTTAAGAGGCAAACACTTTTTCTAAACACAGGCAATGTCCCCATAGAAAATTTATACAATGATTCAAGAGTTTCCAGGACTTTAATGCCAAGAGAGAGCCCCTCAATTCTCCAGTGATTCCGTGCGGTAGTTATGAACTGATGTTCATCAATTGAGAACACTGTTTGGTTCTGCCTCATGAAACTCTTATCAACCTTTGTAGCCCATCAGGGATTAGCATGATATACCTGGTTTTTGAATCAGCACTGAATAGCCGCCTCACGCCAAAATAGTTCAGGCAGAACTCACCAGAGCCTTTATATCTTCCAAAATCTTGAGTCACCTCAAGGCAGTGAAGAGATTCAAGGATGTCTAATACATTCTGTTTCCAAAGATTCCAGAAATGACAGAGGGATTTAAGAGAGAGCTGGTTACAAAACATTGTATCCTCACCGAACTTCAGGTCTACAGGTGACTCATCTTCCCATGAATAAAATGAGGCTCTAACTTCAGTGTGAGCATCCATAATTTTCCTGAGACATAAAATTTCACCTCTAAGACTCCCACACTTCTGAGAAGCACTTAGAGCACGCCTCAAATCACATAAGTTATTTTGCTCGTGTTCAAACACCTTTGCCTCTGTACATACAGACTCATAAAAAATATCAGATCCATTCCTTGCAAACGAAATGGCCTTATTCAAGAGCACATTCTTAGACCCAAAAGACTTCAGGGGCCATGGCTTGCATCTCTGAACTTCAGTGTGAGCATCCATAATTTTCCTGAGACATAAAATTTCACCTCTAAGACTCCCACACTTCTGAGAAGCACTTAGAGCACGCCTCAAATCACATAAGTTATTTTGCTCGTGTTCAAACACCTTTGCCTCTGTACATACAGACTCATAAAAAATATCAGATCCATTCCTTGCAAACGAAATGGCCTTATTCAAGAGCACATTCTTAGACCCAAAAGACTTCAGGGGCCATGGCTTGCATCTCTGAACCCACAAAGAATGGACCAAGACGTACCAAAGGACACGTGAGGATGCTTTGCTGAAATTCCCAGCTTTAGCAAGAAGATCTGCCTCTTGTAGAACATCCCCTTTCAGCTTAGCAAGCTCGGCAGCTTCAGCAAAATTTCCACATTCTTCTTCTAACAGCAACAACTCATCCAGACAATTAAGACTCTTCATAAACTGGCGCTTATCAGCCATTGACTTGAAAGCTTTAACGAACTTCATCATTGATTTCCTATCGTTGCACTCAAAGTAATCAGATGCACACCTTTCTAGAAACTCTTGTTCAATTCTTTCAATTTCTTTTCCTAGTTCATCCTTATCCTTGTACAGTACAGCATGTTGTTTCCAGCGCTCTACATATTGAAAACCCACATCATAAAGGTGACCCTTGCTGCAGACAGATAAACACTCTGAGAAACATTTTTGCTTTGCATATATCTCAGAGGCAGTCTCATAACATCCAGCCAATGTAAAACACTCTGCAGCTTTTTTTTGTTCTTGTTCCCCACACTTCTTCAAATAAATTGTTCCTGTAGCATATATGAAAAAAATTATCAAACCAACCACTATAACTCAAATGAAACAATGAAACATAACTTGAGGGCAGGAATATTCATACCTGCATGTTCATAGTCCTTCAAGTCATAAAAGCATTCAGCTGCAGACTTAAACCTTCCAATTGACTCAAATATTTCAGCAGCTTCCCTGAGATTGGAAATAGATGCATTGGGGTTCGAATCTCGCATTCGGTCAGCAGTTTCTCTAAGAATAGAAGCTTTAGCTTGCTTCTCCAGGTTCCTCTCTCCTGCCCTTTCAAAGCACATGATAGCCATTTCATAGTTTTTCTCCCAAAGAAGCTGCACAGCATTATATATTCCACTACCATTAGAAAACATGTTCCCGTACATATACTAAGGATGAAAGTTAACTAAAAAAGAAGAGAGAGAGAGAGAGAGAGAGAGAAAGCTCAACTAACTTTTAATCCCCGAGATTTCCACTGTTCAGGAGTGCTTGCCATGCGCATAGCTTGTGCAAGAGATTCATTGACATCCCTTACTTCCACAAGGCCCATTTTCATCCAATATTCAAACATTGGTTTTGAAAACTCTTCAACGCGTTCACAGATCCATAACCGTTGCCTAGTGCGAGTTACAGCAACATATAGCTGCTTCAGTTCAGAACACAATATTGTGTGCCGTGCTTCAGTAAAACATGGGAAGCTCTGTGAAAATCTTGAGTCAAGTAAATTTCGAAGTTTCATGAATTCATACACTACTCTCCACTGATTTCTCAGAGGTGAAGTACCAAAGAAGTTGTAAAGCAGCACATCCTATAAAAATAAACAGTGGTCCATTAGAATTTTTCGATCGCTCAGAAAAAATATAGTTACAGAAGTTGATCCCCGAAAGGAACATTTCAATGAATGCAAAAATAAAAAGGGATGATAAAGACAGGCAGAAGCTCTTAATAGGAATTGAAAGGTTAAGACAAAAGATGTGTCATGTTCTCTCAGTCTTAGTTTATCCCACTTACTTGAAACTCTAATCCTTTGCATTCAACTATAGTTAGAATGAGTGCCTGTTTCCCAACAAGATCAGAAACTTCACGTTTAGCAGACTCATCACGTACTAATATCACTTGCTCTGCACCAAAGCCTACCATCTTCCCACAAACACCTCCATTGTTACCAAAGATGGTTACAATAGCATTTTCATTGTTCCCCTGCTGCCTAAGCAATACTGGAGCCTCACCATATATAAGGCTTGTCTCTGGAGCCAAAGCATCAATTGACAGAGGGAAATAGTGAGAAAGAATATCAATAACACTCTGAGCAAGCCTGAGAACGCCAGCATGTGTACGAAAGTTCTGGTGTAAACAAGACACCCTGGAAATATGGCCTTTATCTTTTCGTGAGGCATGTAAACCACCTTTCAGTTTCAAGACGAACTGCTCATAGAACAAAGTCCGCACATCTTCAAACCTAAAATCTACCCCCCTGGCAATGGTTTGGGCTGTATCCCCAGAAAATACAAAGCCCTCATCAACATTTTGGCAAATATACTTGAACAGTGAAATCTGTCTCATTGTGAGATCTTGAACTTCATCAATGTATACAAAATCCATTCTTTCACCCTCCCATATTTCCTCATTTAACCGAAAATGAAGATCATTCACAAAATCAGCTAAATCAAATTCACCACGCTCTATCTTCTTTTTTTCATAATAGAGAAAGATATCATAGATTTCCTCTCTTCTCTTCTCATTCAAAGTTGATACTCGACTCTCAGTCATTGAAACATATTCAGCGCGACTGAGTTTGGCATCATGGGCTTCACCTATGCGTAATCCCCCTTTTATATGTGAAATTATTTCAGTAAACACCTTTGCAGCATCGTGATTCTTGATCAAATGGGAGTTGAAATGAGGCCAATACAAGCAAGAAAAGCGATCAAAGTTAACCTCTTTTCGTCTTATGAAAGTTTCTGCGTCTAGAGAAGGGGTGTTCTTGTCTTGGAAACGGTCAAAGTATGAAGACCGCAACGTTCCATCAAGCATTATCAAGAACTTTCGAAATGTGACAACAAGGGGATATTTTGTTTCAGGAATAGAAACAAAAGAATCTGGAATATCTTTAAAATGAGACAACCCATCCAAATCATCCATCATATCCAACAGACTGCTCTCATCAGACAACTTCCCCCCTTGAGCAAAGCTGAAAGCAAAATAAAGGTTTAGACTTACAATGAAACACTCTTTGGCAATATAAACACACTGGCTGTATGAGTATGCAATCCACTCAATAAGAATATCATTTTAGGTAAAGCAATGCCAACTATAATCACATTGCACTTAATGTAAAGAAGATCACACATCAAGATCAGCATAACGTGGAACTCTTAAAACCAGGTAAGCCGGTGAGATATCTGAAAATTATGTACCAGCACAAAGAGCTAATTTCTTCAAAACTCAGGAGGAGATGTAAGACTGTGTATCATCAAATTCCAAGATAAATACTTTATCATTGACGTGAGAAAAAGGCAATTCATTCTATTGTACTTGAAGATTGTTAGATATCAATGTTCCCAATATCCTGATGAGCATTTACTCCCTTTGTTTAAAATGTTGTCATGTATGATCCTTAATGATCTAAGAAATGTACTGTATCCCATATTCACCTTAATTCTTTGCATTCTTAACTTACACTTTCCCTTGAAAGCTAATGTAGTTGTAGAGTGATTTATATTGTTAATTTTGGAGAGTTGTCAACAATTACAGAACTGATGAGGATCTCAAGAAGCACAACACTAAGTAATTTTGCAACCAACGAATAACAAAGGCATGATGCATGCAGATTTCACATGGTATCACTTCATGTTTTTTATTTTGTGTTAGTTTGAAAACAAGTACTCCCTTCGCCCCATTTAAAGGTTCCCACTTTCCTTTTTTAAACGTCCCACTTAAAGGTTCTGATTTTCTATTTTAGGAAACAATTAACACTCTTTAATGAGAATTTAAACATCAAATACTAAAAATAATACATTTATAAAATCATAGTTATCATCAATAACACATTATATTATATACTCGTCAAAATCATTTCTCAAAATATACTCGAATTAGCATATTTAATTATTGTCTAAATATTCGTGTCGTTTTGCCACGGGGACCTTTAAATGGGACAGAGGTAGTAACAAATAAGAAACCTAGAAAAGATTGTTTCAGTTTTTGTGGCAGTTTACCATAATAGCACAATTAGTATGCTTATGGCCAACTTTTGGTTTATTAGACAACCTATATTTATGACTTAAAATAACAAAGCTAACTCTTTCACTTTATGAAAGTAACTATTGCATCGGTCTAGACTGTAGATAAACAAGGAGCTGTAAATAGAAAGTGTAATCTGACGGAAGGTAAGTCCAATTGCTCAAACTGACCATTTCAGATGAGAAACTTGTTGTTTTACTGCGTAGCACAGCTTTGGACTAACAGTGACAAAAAGCTGCCTCAAGGCACTAGTCATATTATCCTCATTTTCGGATTGGCTCATTATTGTGTTTTCAGCTTTTGAAAAGCTATCTTCTCCTGCATGCTTGCTGATCGCATTATTTAACTCCGCTTTCATCACCCCACCTAAGGAAAGATGATGTTGTTGCTCATTTTGAAACAATTTCATGGTCAACACAGTGGTTTTACCAGTGCCTGATCGGCCCAGTATGAAACTACTCCTTCGTGATTTGATTATCTCTTTTTCCTCATCCGTAACTTCAAAAGGGATATCAATTTCTTCACCAAGATTATCAGAGAGCAAATGATTGACAATGCCAGATGATAAAGAGTAAAACTTCATCAAGAGTAAGCTTTCACTCACTCTTGAGTTTTCAATGTAACTTCTGCCATCCCCCGCCACACTTTCATTTGAGCTATCAGCCAATCTCTCGCTAAGATTCTTGAATCTTACAAGATCCTGAGAGGCTGGCCAAACCTTTGGAACTTCCAAGTCGCTGGGTAAAAGAAAGCAATTTAGAAAAGCTGTCTATTCTTTGATTTATTTAGATCTCAAAAAAACTATCCTGACTATAAGATATGTGCATGAACAAACATACCCATCTAGACATCTATGGCTGCACATATTGATAAAATCATCAGTGTACATCGCAAAAATGCTATAAAGGCGTCTCAATAATTTTCCAACATCATCAAGAGGTAAAAAATCCCAAACCCTCAGAATTTGTGTGTATTTCAATTCTCTCTGAATGTCAACAGTGCAGACTATATATTGCCCTTCAACTTTAAACTGCTTCACAATCTGTGATGAGCTTTGACACGTCAAGTCAACAGTTTTTCTCTTTGGTCTCCATCCACCAGCAAGTTTAAGTAAAAGATTTAGCGCTGCCTTTTTCAAATGGGTTGACACCAAGTTTTTATATGATCTTTTGAAATTGTCACTTAAAAGAACCTGACAACAACGGAATGGTAAAACAATTAGACAAAGCAGATAAGTTGAAAAAAATGAACAATAAATCTTAAGCTTCACAAAAAACATCATAAAAAAGCATTCAGAGCAAAAAATAAGACAAAGGTGATAACAGGGGATAACGTAAGAAGTTCTTTTACATTCCATCTCCGATTCTTGAATAAGATGCTGTCTGCATTAAGCAGATCATCAAGTTGATCCAGTTCTTTCTTGACTTTCAAAATTGTTTTTGACAGGTCACTATCATCGGAGGCAGAGAAGACACAATGGCGTTTCCTTGCATCTTGAACCAACCCCTGCCAAACTGAATTGCTATCCATTAGGGTCCTCTCGCTTCCCAATATCCATAGACAGTGGCTTCATTGAAAAGAGCGAACAGAAGAAATAGTCAAAATACACATTAGGCAGCATCATATTAAAATCTTAGAAGGTCAGAAAATTACACATACCGGGCTCTGGTCAGGGCAACATTAGTTCTTTGCAAACTAGACATAAAACCAATAGTTCCAGCACGATTAGATCTCACAGTAGATAATATTATGATGTCTTCCTCCCCACCTTGGAAGCCATCAATAGACTTAACCTTAACCGCAAAGTCATCAAAGTTGTCATACTTTCTTCCAATTTTATGTTTCAGGGCAATAACTTGAGCAGCATAAGGAGATATGACACCAATGCTAAGCTTATTACCCGTGTCACACCAAACTGGGTAGATCATGTTTTGGAAGAAAATAAAACAAGTCAGAACATCACATGCAAACTCAAAGAATCTGTGTCATCCTTATTAATCCATTAAAATGAACACAAAACGGCAAGAAAAAAAATTTACTTTATAAGAAATATGAAACTCAAATAAACCATAACGTTGATATTAGCACACTTTAAACAAACAATCAAAAGCACAATTCAGATGCTAATGAACACAAAAATTAAGGATATAGCAAAAAACACTGAAAACAAAGGGTAGCCTCACATTTGAACAGGCTCTGCACTATTTTAATGACTATAGCCACCTCAACCATATTCCTTTTGCTATATCCAATATCACCAAATTCTTCCTTTCCGTTAGGGAGACTTATAAAAGAATATGGACCAAACATTCTTCCATGAAGATACTGCCTCTCATAGGCTTTGCTTAGAACATTGGGAGCATCGTGCAACTGATTATGATAGAAACACGAATTTGGAAATTGGCTTATTGCTGGATGCATACGATACTGGACATCAAGCATGAGCTTTGGGTGATCCAATGAACTTAGCCTTTCAAATAAGCTTCTTCCGAAACCAGCCTCATTAGACACCTATTAACAATTTTTCATTTCATTAGATGGAAGAAGGTATTCCTTTAACAGATGCTACACACTAACACATTACAATGGAATAAAAACATGGAAGACGCACTTTGCTATGAACAATTGCAGGTAGTTGGCACTCATCCCCTACTAGAATCACATGTTTTAGCCCTGGGAGTTGAAGTGGTATGATAGATTCACATTCCCTTAACTGAGCAGCTTCATCAATGACTAATAATTTGAATGGATCCATTTCGACTGAATGCAGCTTGAAAGAACTTGAAGAGGTGCAGAAGACCAAGCATGGTAACCTTAAACAGAAATCCGTGATGGATGCCCTACTTAATGAACTTGGAAATTCAAGCTCTCCAAGAATTTGTGTAAGGGTTTTCAGAATGGAGAGGCACTGGATTCTCAAACAGGCCAAAGAAGATGTGTTGGTGGGGGAATCTTCAGAGGTTACTGGTTGTGAAAAAGCTACGTTCAGTTCTTCATCAGACATTGTATTATTCTCAAATAAAGCATCTTTCAGAGCATCCACAAGACAAACCAGGGAAATGATTGATTGGAAATTGTGTTCTCGGATGAAATGCCTTGGGATATGAGTACACATTGTTAACATGCATCTTCTGAGGGATAAAACTGCACCCTCGAACCGCGACTTAAGAAATTCAGAAAAGGATATCGGCTCCACAGTTTCATCTAAGGTTTCACCTATCTCAATTAACTCTTTCTTTTTTATTAATTTATTTTCCTCAAATATTTCATGATCAGAAACAGAACCTTCCAGAAAAGAAATCGCAGACCTAATGCAGTGTCTCCAACCTCTCAGTAATCCAAAACATTCACAAAGCTTATCAACACGATAATCTAGATACATCTCCTCAGTGTATTTGCCTAGCTTCAATCTATCCTTGTTTCCAAACAGGACCACATCACCCAAAGGACATAACAGATTCTCCTCTGGTGAATCATCTCTATAAGATTCTTGTACAAGCCTTATCACCCGAGAGGCAACTTGTGTTATTGCCACATTTGTAGGTGCACAAATAAGTGTCCTGCACTTTTTCTTCAACAACATAAACAGAAGTACAATAATAGTACTTGTCTTCCCAGTGCCGGGTGGGCCCCATATAAGATCAACATGAGACTTTTGATCGCATTTCACCCTTCCAAGACAAGTTAGTACTGCATTGGCTTGAGACTCGTTCAGCTTGGACAACAGGCTGTCCTCTGTATTCTCAGTTGATGATGATCTTACATGAGCATGAGGAGCGCAGTTATAGCATTCTTTTTCATCCTACTCATTAATGTGATAAACAATGATCAATCAGAATCATAATAAAAATATAAAAGAAAAATACCACCAAGTTGGTGTAAGAATGTAATGATCGAGAAGCCAAAGTATTGAAGTACAACGTCACTAACCTCAGGACTTGTGTGCAAAACAGTGTTAATAATGTTCAAATTCCTTTTCATTCCTACAGCATTCCAAATTCTTTTATTTGTTGTGAGGTTGGCTAAGAAAATGGTATGGATAGTTGCATCGTCTCCTATTATGTCTCCAAAATCTATAGGCATTTTCACCGTAAAACAAGTAGACGACATGTCATCATCATCTGGCACATAAGCAACTGAAGCAAATGTCCAATTCCATCCCACACGATTCAAATCGGAGACGGTCTCTGGTTTACCATCGGAGATGACCACTAAGTCTCCGGGCAATGTTTTGTAACGCTCTCCTTCATCATTAACCCTTCTCTTCCAAGATTCCACCTTAATGCTATAATGAGTACCCTTCCCGCGTCCGTTTGACAGTTCAAAGGAGATGACTTGAGCAAATGGCGCTTTATCCATTACTTCCAATGAAGAAGCAACGGTTGCTCGTGTTTCTTCCAGTAAAGGAAATGTATAGCATCCAAGGTAATGATCCCATGAACGGAATGTACATGGAATCTTCTCAACCTATCAGAAATATAATACAGCAAGAGTGTGAGAAGAAACAAGTTCGATCATAGAAAAATGAAAGAGCATTTGAAGATGAAATGATAAATATATACACCTGCTTTTGGTAGAGGGTGTCGTCGAAAATGTCTTCAAGAGACCATGAGAAGACTCTATCGGCAAGGTCACTACTCTTAGGCCAAACTCCCGGCCTTACAGAGGAAGCCTCTTCCATTTTGTTGACAGAAAAATAGAAGACGCGACGCGCGTAGGTAATCTGTACGTTGCTCCGAACACTCTTACTGATGAGTAGATAAACCCAAAATTCGAGCAAGTGTTCAAGTCTTACTGAGTAGAAAGCGAGACAAGAAAAGAAAGCGAAACTTGATGTGCATGAAAGTGCATGGTGTTTTTATGCAACCAAGATAAGCTGTGTGTACCGAGCAAGAAGACATGTATCAGAAACATGGAAAAGATGGAGCAGGTGGCCTGTATGAGATCGAACAGTGCTTTTTTTTTTTAAATGGATGGGATGTTTGCCTTCCCGCGGCTCGATACTCCGCCATCATGATGAACAAGTACTTACTTGATGGTGACGGTGAGTTTACTAATCACAATCATTTCATAAACTATTGGCCAGCTTTATTTGTGACCATATTATATTTTTTTTTTTTAAAATATGGTCCTGAGATGTGGTTACCGGTTGAGCTACGTCCATCAATAATGATCTAACCCTTGTGTCACTCTCTTTCATGACTATTATGTTTTTATTTCCAAAATAGAAGTAATTAATGACATGTTTTGACATTATCAGAATTTAAAAATAGCATATTTATCAAACTTGGCAGTAACTATTCATATTCAGGAATTAAAAATATAACAGTCTTATTTTGGGATTCCAAAACATTTAAACTTCTATTTCGAGAATTTTTCTTTCACATTATTTTGGACAGTCACGTGTATTATTGATGTTGAACGATTAGAGTTCACGTTCACTCACGTGTCTTATACTTAAAACTAGAATACATGAGAAGTCTTTTGTTAATTATTAGTCATGTTTATCTTATCTTATGCATAAAAGTACTACATATGAGAAAGAAATTTCCCCCGCTCATTTATTAGTCCGCTTACCTTCTTCTTATACCGAAAAGCATTACGTATGAGAGAGAAAATCCTCCCTCTCAATTATTAGTCTGCTCAACTTATCTAATATTATACTTAAAAGTAGAACATATGACAAAGAAAAATCTTTCGTTCAATTATTAGTTTGCTTATCTTATGAGAGAAAAATCTTTCGTTCAATAAAAGTACTACATACGAGAAAGAATCTTCTCCCGCTCATTTATTGGTCCACTTTTTTATACCTAAAAACACTACAACAACAACATCCAAGTCTTAATTCTGAGAGAATTCAGGGTCTGCTAACATGAATCGATCCATGATATTGATGCCAAACAGAGAAGACGAGATAAGAAGGGGGAAAGTAAGATAAAACGGATAAATAAATATATAAATATAAGATAACAATAACATAAGAAAGATAAAAGATAGAAAGACAAAAGAGCATAAAAAGTTGAGAAGATAAAAATAATATTAGAATATAAAAAGATAAAGAAGATAAATGATAAAAGAGAAGAGAGAGGAAAGGTAGCAAAGACATCAATTATCCACACGGATGTGCGCCCTCCACTTTGCTCTTTCCAAAGTCATACTCGCATCCAACCCAAGAAGACGCATATCAGTTCTGATTTCTCTAATCCGTCTGTTTGGGTCTTCCCCTCCCTCTCCTCTATGTCTCTTCTCCCCACCACTCATGCGTCTTATCTTCTATAGGTGCTACTCCCACCTTTTGTCTGCTGATCTCATTCCTCAAGTGATCTTTTATGGTAAGTCCACACATCCAACGCAACATACACATCTCTTTCACACTCATCTTTTGAATGTGGCATTGCTTCACCGCCCAACACTCAACGCCATACATTAATGCAGTGATAATTGTTGTTCGATAAAATTTACCTTTCAGACTAGTCGGGTGATGTGAGTTTTCTCGCACTTTAAAAGATTGTAGAATAGCGGTGAAAGTACAAGTATCGTCTCCACAGGGACGGACAAATGGGAATCAAGGATTAATTAAATTCTGCGATTAAAAAGGAAAAAATAAAATAAATGCGTCGTGCGAGATTGGTTGGTTGAATTAAAATTAAACTAATGCGAATGAACGATTAAAATAAAAGATTGGGTTCTCTCTAATTAACGACGAAGGGAGCAGGGATTGATTCTGGAGTAATCAGATTTCTGGCAGATCAGATCTAATTACATGAAATTAATTTAATTGAGCCTAGCTAATCAATACTAAGTTCTTACCGCTCTCGCGGCGTAGAGTACAATAATTTAGGAGACCAGGCAGATCTCTCATGCGACAAGATTCTAAATTATTGCCAAAACGAGCGAGCTTACGGCCCCTTAATCGCTACTAATCTCTTAGCCAACGATTAAGTGTGTGTGAATGTGTTCTAGAATAAATTAGATACTTGTGGTTGTGGGCATTTTCACTTAGGGGTCTGTGATGATCTTTGTAACAAACGCAGCCTCGTGTTTTGCTACCGTTACCACCCGTGGGGTCTATTGGACCTGACCGTTAGTTAAATGCGACGTGGCATATTTTTTTTCCAAATAGGCTCCAGCGTGGCCAATGGAGAGCATTCAATGTATTTGCAGGTTGGGAATGAGTGATTACATGAATTTGAAAATTCATCATGGTGGAATGTGAGACTGTCCAAGACAAAAGAAAACGTATGTGGGGGGCCAGGTTTTGTTTAAACAAAAAGTTGACATTGACTATTTGAGCAAGTTTGAATTAGATGGGTATGCAAAAGATTTGGGTTATACAAATGGGGTCCAAATGTGGTTCAGAAGATTCTCAATAAGGGAGATGTGTGGGCTAGTAAATTTGCAAGAGATAGTATGTGATAAAGATGTCCAAGACATGCTGGTGTGTTACATCATGGACCCACATGTTGACTTGTACTTTGTTGCAAACACTAGTAACAAACGGTGGTGGGTACTTTACCACAACATACAACCCAATCCTCACAGGAAACCCAAAGTTCTGTCCCAAGTACAACACCAAGTAAAGACCAACCTGCAGTACCACGACCTCTAGATGCACATCAATTTGTGGGTGTATCAACTACATTTGTGGAAACAGAATTAGAGAGTGATGAGGAAGATGAAGACTATGTAATTCAAAGTGGTTCTGAAAGTGCTTCAGGGGAGCATTCCCAAGAAGGAGATCCCAATATCAGTGAAGCTAGCTGGCTATCCCAAGAAGAACTAGAAGGGAGTGAAGATGATGTCTTTAATCATGAAAGTGAAACATTAAACCAACAACCACAAGGAGATCCTGAACCACCTTCACAACCCAACACTTTTGGGCTTGAAAGTAGGAATTGTTTTTCTACGCCTGCTGGAGACAAGCTGTTTGAGGTTGATTTCTATGACACTAGCCATGTGGTTAATCTTAGAGACAAGACTTGTACATGTCGAAGGTAGGATTTGAATGGGATCCCTTGTAAGCATGGAGTGTCTGCTATATATGCCAATAGAGAGAAACCTGAAGACTATGTGAGTGCTTTTTATGCTAAATCCACCTATTTGGCTGTGTATAAACAGATAATCCATCCTCTACCAAGTAAAGATGAGTGGGAGAGGTCAGATACTCCAGATATTGAATCCCCAATTCCTAGAAAACCTGCAGGAAGACCCAAGAAAAAAAGGATTAAACAACCAGATGAAACTAGGAATCCCTATAAGGTGTATAGGGCAGGTAAGCAGGTCATATGTGGCAATTGTAAGCAAGTGGGCCACAATGTAAGAGCGTGTAAGACATCCATAACTGGAGAAACACCATGGCAAAGGAGAAAGAGGTTAGGAAAGCAAAAATCTGCCCAAACAAGCCTAGGTGGTGATGATCACACAGCTGACCCAACCTCTCATGACCTAGAGCAGACTGGAAATAATGAAACTCTTCATATGTCAACTCCCATTGCCCATGATCCAGTTTCCCAAAGGGGTGAAGGAAGAACAAAGAAGAAAAGAAGAATAAGCAGTTCACAACCACCCCACCCAGCAGCCAGGAGAGTGACTAGGTCCTCAAGTTCACAACCCTCAATGGTAGTATTTTGTTCTTCATTTTTACTGTAATGAAGAGAATCTAGCCATCATTCATGATTAACCCCTTCATCAATCCCAAATCCCTAATTAAACTACTCACAATTCATAATTGAAGAATCAACAGAATTGGGAAGAATAGAATAAATTGTCATTAATTAAAAAGATGAACTTACAAATAATCCCAAGGTTTTGGAAGAAAATAGCGTAAAAACGGTGTTAAATTCGTCCCTAGGCCTCTCCGTAATGTTCGACACCACTAAAAAGGGTTAGGGAGGCCTTATTTATAGAAAAGAGGGGGAAAATCACAATTCCGGTCGATGTGGGAAATTCCCACGCGTAACTCGGGGCTACGCACGATCGTGCGTCCCTGGCTATGCACGATCGTGCGTAGCAGGCAGTAGCTCCTCCACGGTTTTGGCTCTTACGCACGATCGTGCGTCCCAGACGCACGGTCGCGCGTCTGTGTTCTTCAGCCTTTTCTCTAGTCCGAATTTGACAACACTTCCTTCATGAAAGTTTTAGATAATGAAGTCCTCTATCCACCGCAACTTGCCGAATGTGATTTGAATCATCCGATAAAGAGATATGATCAAAACGGTGGACGGTGTCATTCTGAAATCGCAGCAGAGATCATTTGACTTCGTCATCTGTTTTGACCTTCTTGCTCTCCTATTCTCGGGTGTCTTCATATGATTTGTATCCCTTGAAGTTGTCTTTCATATACAACTTGAATCATGTCCATTAGTTGTTTCTACAAAGAGATATTATTGAATGATTGCCAGAAGGTCATCCTGATCGTCATTTTCAAGCTTCATTCATCTTCTTTTGATCCCGAAGCCAATCCTAGAGCTCTTTTGTCATCAAATCTTCATTGTAAACCTCCCGCTGACCTCCATAGCTCTCAAATCAATCTCAAATGATTTTCAACTCATCCCGATTTCTCCTCAAGCGCCAGTGCCGAACTCTAAAATCCCGATTTTGACTCCAAATGACACAAAACTCGAACCAACGCCCGGTAAACATAACTTGAGCTAAAATTGAGACTTGTAACACCTTAAAGCTAGAGAAAACCATCAAACCTGATCCCAACACGCATCAAATGCATGTCTAAATACGGACTTATCATCGGCATACCTCGATTGCATAAAATCCTGATACACCCTTCCATTTCATCCACCCGGCTCTGATTCTATGGCATATATCTCCATCTAATTCACCATCATTCTGAATTATGGTGCTCAAGTAACGAAACATATCACACACTGGTATCTCCTTACCATCAAGAGTAATCTCACTGTTGCTACTACTTCCACCAAACATGCACTGTGTATACTTAGTCTTGCTTCAGCTGAGTCAAGAACCCTTGGTCTCCAA